CATCCATCCATCCATCCATCCATCCATCCATCCATCCATCCATCCATCCATATATTCTCATCCCATCCAATTACTCACCAAAGCCCCAACAGCTCTGACTAAAATCTGTCCATCTGTTCCCGCACTAGCAATCCAGCGAAGGTGGCAGGATAATGCCAGTTCCCCTCCATTAAGATCATGTCCCACGTAAGATTCTAAAGGCTCCAGCGTAGCGCTTGACTTGTCCTATTTACAAAATGGTAGTTCGAATGTTATTGAGTTACTGAAAAAAAAAGGTTCAAGGTACTTTGAAAGTCTAACGCTTTGAAGCAATGTTATGTAATTAGTAACCCAAGGGAGAATTTTATGCTTCTACTTTATTCTTCACGCCATCCCATGTTGCACTGCATTAAGGAATCATGGCCTTAGGTAATACTACATTTTTGGTCAATTGTTATACCTGCTCTTGAGTCAATGCTAACTTGACTAACTCTTTATGATTATGAGCAACAGCTATTGCCGTCTGTGGTGACGTGACAACAACACTATACACAGGTCCTGTTAGCTTATGCGAAGAGAGCTTCACTGCTTCAGGGCGATACAGAAGTGCTTTGTTGAAAAACGCATCTTTTGGACCTGATAAAGAAAAAATCTCTATCTATTAACAAAAATATAAAAGCAAACATCAGTCAAGGGCAGGGGGAAGCAAGTTAAAGAGGTACTTTACAGCCATTCTCAGTCACACGTGCCCTCTAGCGATTATTTTTGTCACGATGAAGTAGATTTTGGTGGACATCAATCAAGGCGTTTCCATGACATTCTATAGGCACGTGCCCTTATAGCTTTGTGTTTTCCAACAATGTTATGGAAACGCCTTGATTGACGTCCACCAAAACCTTTTTCGTCGCGACAGAAAAAATCATTAGAGGGTGCGTGTGATTGAGAATGGCTGTAAACAATAAAGAGAACTCACTGCGATAAAGGACGTCCTTGTTAACCTCAAACTCGATCAAGTTATTCCCACATGAATGCGAATCATTGGGGCTGTGAACCACGACGATCTTCCATGGACCTTGACCATCATTTTCTCGTGCGTTGAGACAAGAAATAGATATTACAGTACCAGGGACGTCTGCAATAGGGAATAAAAAAAAAACACTTTAAGTTCTAGTTAAATTTGGGTCATTGCTTTTTTAGTTTCTTAGTGGTCAGGTGCAACGTTGTMTGCAATACCATGAAACTAGTGTACRTTGCAACCATGTGAAGTTGTATGTGATGTCGCATACGTTGTGTCCAAGCACCCTTAGYGTARAWAGTGATGGTYCTMCACTAACCTGTATGGCCAAGTACTTTAAAGTTGTTGGTAACTCTTGCATCACAAACAAATACATGRCCATCATTAGATCCTGTGACAAAGATCTGCCCTTCCATGTCGTATCTATGGTAACCAGCACAAAAAGACATCAATCTATTTATACATTTGGTCCTGATAAATATCAACTAAATGACTGAGCTTACTTTAACTGAAGCACAGGTCCTTGATGGAGGTACGAACAGAAAATAATGCGTGGTTGAGATACTGATGTCAGTTCTATAAAGTAAACAGAACCACTGGCTGTGCCGACAGCTACTGTACTGGAAGACGGACAGCATGCTATACAGGTTGCCTGTCCAATCAAGATCAAGGAAATTCAATTAATGATACATTCCTGTATTGTTTGTGGATGACGRAGAAAGTAAAAAGGGAACTTATTGTCTTACATGGCATTCTAGAGGTAACTGACCAGCAAACAGAGAGGTCTGTATATTCCATACTTGGAGAAGACCATTGGACCTGCATGTCTGGGGAAATACAAACAACTGCAGTTATGAATGGGATTCTTTCATAGAAAAATTGAAACGGAATAATCTTAGAGCATTTGACTGTGAAACTGTTTCTACACTTTCTTACTCACCACACAGTACTCCGAGTCACCAAGTAAGCAATCTACACCAACAAATTCCACATTACTGATATCGAACAGCTTGGTAAGAAGGTTGTCATTGGGCTCATACAATTGTATGCATCCCTGCAGAATATTGGAAATATGACATTTGAACAAAATTCATGAGAAATTCAAAATATAGAAATAAMCCTTAGTTATTTGTCTAAAAGGTAAAAGTAAAGTTACTATAATTAACCTCATTAGTTCCTTCAGCTACATGGCTGGTAGCCAACAAATGCGCAAACTTACCTTTGTACTGCCGACAGCTAATTCATTGTAGTTAAAAGACCAGGCAAGACTAGTTATTGACGCTTCTGTATTTGTCTTACTGAGGACTTTGACTTCAGGACCATTAATGTCCAAACATCTCAGAATACCATCCTACAAAAAAAAAAAAAACAAAAACAGACAGTTATAATTTAGCCAAAAGATTATTCTAACTCCAGAATGGCAAACAAAGAATCACAGAGAGCAAACAAGTTACTAGTGTTTGTAAGAGGTGTTGTTTACCTGTCCACCAACATACAGYCCAGACTTGTGGAGTGCTAGACAACTGGTAGATCCATAGGTYAAACCATCACCAGATACATTGCTCTCATCCTCTATATAAAATAATTTTCATTAGATCCCCCCCCCAAAAAAATCAACTTTAACAATATTGAATCTACTGCATATTTTGAGGCTCCCATTTGTTTCAATGCTTCGAAACATTCTTTGATAGTAATGACTTGGTCACAATTTTTTAAATTTGAATCAGATATTTTCGACACAGAGAAGTTTTTTTAAAATCCTAATAATTCTCATATTTCTCATTTAATATTCCAACCATCAAAACAAAAKATCTCTTTGGTTCCATAGTTACATACTAGTCAATTTGATACATGTACTGTATAGTAGCAACATTGGAGAGCAATCAAAATTGAATTATTTTTCTGAGTCTATAATTTCAAACTAGAGTTATTTTGAATTAATTTACCCTCTTCGGGAAGTGATTCCATAGTGTTTTTGTGCTGCATCAGATGTGATARAGTATCTGTTCTGCTTCTGTGAGTACCTATCCTTGGTGTTGCAGCCACTTTGATTGTATATACATCAGGATCAACCCTCAGTAACTGTCCACCAGAACATCCACAATAGATCATTCCACTGGGTGTCCAGCAATGACTAACTGGCTCACAGCGTTCTATCTTATCACCTGTTGGGATTCCAGATCACAGCTTAGTTTAACATGAATCAAGACCATCTTGATGGCCAATGGGGGAGAAGGCACAGGTAGTGTGCTGTGCACTCCTAAGCCTCCTCATCTCACAGCTATAGTCATGAATTCCGCCTCACTCCCTGATTAATCTTACCACCCTACCATGATAGAAAACTTAAGTGAAGAGAGGGCGACACTGATGACAATAATGGTATGGGATAAAAAAGGCATTCTATTGACCTGGTTCATAATCTTTAGCTTCATGACCAACAATGCCAGCAATGGCAGCTTTTGTCAGTCTGAACTCTTCTGTTGTAAAAGCTCTTCCCATTCTACTAATAGAATGCTTCAGGTTTTTAAATTCTCCATCGTCTGGGGTTCCATCTGCAGGAGGCAGCTTGAACTCACTAAAAATATATATGTATAAAAGAAACTAATAARTGACAGCAAGCTAGAAGTAATTAACAAGCATGTATTGTAATCAATATGATTGTTTGCTTGTCCATCCATCCATCCACYATTATTTATACATTTTTTAACTTATGGAGACATCCCCTTTTTACTAGTCTATAAAAGATGTTTGGTAATTCATTCATTCATTTCCCACTTTATACTCATTAGCTCAATCATTCATTCATTTCATTAGATTATAAGACACCTAAAATTATTATACTTTACACTATGTGTTAAGACATTAAAAAATTTACCTAACCCCTCCTCCCCCCCAAAAAAGAAAGAGGAATTTGACATTCCAGAGGGGTGGGGACAGAGAAAGAACAAAATTGCAGAGTTTGTATAAAGGAAATTGGAATTTCTGGGGATGGGGGGAGGGGGGTGTCTTTATGAAACTTCCTCTGTGGAAGGCATATGAATAATTTCTGGTATTACACTTTCTAGCTTTGTTCTGGTACAAACTATGGACAGTTTACCTTGATGTAAGAGTGTATTTGTCATTCAGTTGCTCAACTTGCCAAATGATCAGCATCTCTTTACCAATTGTACACAATTGTCTCCAATTAACAGGATTAAATGATAGGTTATTGCATGACAGATGGTCTACATTGATTGAGCACAGCTTAAGCCCATTCACCCAATTCCTGTATGAAACACAGTTCAAATAATTAGTGGATAGAGTTAACTCAAGTACAAATATTAAGTCAAAATAAACCTTATTCAACAGCTTACCAGATTGTTAACTGGAAGTCTGGAAGACCMGAAAAACTGGCAAATATAGAACTGTTATTGGCAAAAGCTAATGCTGAGTAGCTAAGCTTTGCACCATCTGAAAAAGAATGCATAAAACAGTATAAACAATGATAGTTAATTTATTGTTATGAAATTATGGATTGATAGTGCAAGTTTTGTASAATAATGTTTAGAAACAAACATATCTATGCAACAAATACAAAGGTATTGGTATTTTAAAATCACAGTGTTTGCTTGTTCAACATGGAAATACCAGGCATTTGAGAGTTAATCCTTATTGTACTGTAAATACTTAAGTACGAAACAACAACAACAACAACAACAACAACAACAACAATTTATCGTACCTAGAATGACAACTACGATAAATATTTACAAAATACAAAACTTCTTTTCTAGATATTGAATTTATCTATACCTACCTTTAAGTATTGCCCGAGGCCTACTGAAATCAGGGAACGTATAAATAAAGATCCTTGGGTTGGCCTTCAATTCTGAGAAAGCATACAGGTTATATGCAGGGTTCGTAGTGAGGACTCCAATCCCATCACCAGGAGTGGGTAAAAATGATCGACTCTTGTCTTTGATGTTAATAAATTTGACATTATTTCCACACACAAAACATAATGTATCTTTATCAACAAAACTTGAGGCTCCACCATCATAACCTTGGGCCCAACTATGAATTATAATAAAAAGAAGATGAGTAAAATATAAAGAAGATGACGTTAAACGTCGTTGAAGTCAAAATTGTAAGATTCAAAACAACGAAGATTTTTTCTGTTTTTCTCCATTAATTCGACCGATTTTACAACATATTGCTAAAGGAGATATCTTTAATGCTAACCTGAGCTCCAAAGTCCCAAACTGATCCATTTAAAAGGAAAAACAAGGGAAARTCCGAGAACAAATTTGATAAATTTTCACCATCGATGAAGTGATCGTTACTTTGTCGTTGCTATGGCGCCGAGAGACTGCTGATCATAAAAACCGCAGTCAGAATCAGTACTAGTCTCTCGCGGTAAAGAGGCACCACAGGCTTCAGCAGCTAATTAATGCTGATATTTTGCAGCATATTATATATAAATTATTTTATTCATAGTAAATTGTCGTGGGAAAGTGTTGATAAACAATATATGGTTGTTATCTCTTGATTACTGTGACTGATGTATTTTCCATTTTTGGTTTTCCGGAGGTGATGAAAGTTGTAGTTAGAGTTTTTGTTGTGGTTTAAATCCATGAAAACACAGGAAATATAGCAAAACKTACCTATGATAAGATAAAAGTCATAAAAATGTACAAAACAAAGAAAAACTGGGATAAAGAACTTGAAGTTCATTTTTCTTTTCTTTCCTTTTTTTACAAAAAAATACATGTTTTCGCTTTATTTTCCTTTTCTCTGGGCAGAAGAGAGAGGTCGCTTTTATGTATGTTGTATGATATGAATATTCGAACAAATATATATATATACGTTGAGAGTTTTTTCCTTATTATTCAGGCCCGTAGACGGAAGCAGACACATCGACTACGGGACCGGAAGTAACGCAGGGGTGTGTCAGTCAAATCCCTTGGCGTGAGTTATTACAGGACATCACACGGATCATTGACTCCTGATAAACAGGGTCGTACAATGAACACTGGAAGTTAATTCAGGACTCTACCCGCCACTCCAATATCTYGTTGCCCTCTAACTTTAAAAATAAGCSGTTTTTATCCCACTTTTGGTAGTACAGAAGGAGGTCGGCAAAAGGTAAAAACGAWTTGAAGAAATAGTGATGGAGAAATCAGAAGAGAACTTGTTGAAGGACGCTAAACGACTGCTCGCGGTCAACGCAGGAGAACAGAAAAGATTGGAGAAATTCCACAAGTGCATTGATAAAAGAAAACGAGAAATGGAAAGAGTATTATCTAGAGCACAGAGGGAAGCTATTTTAAGGTTTTATGAGTCCTCTGGCGAAGGTTTACAGGGAATTTTACATGCGGAGAAGAATAAGAAAGTCAAAGGTCATAACCAATTGAGGGCTGTTGTTTCGAGTGATGCTGTTTTACGCAGCCCTGAAGGTCCTGAAGCAAAACYCAGCGAAGAAAAGGAGAAGAAAAAAACGAGAACAAACAAAAAACTATCATTACAAGAAACATCTTCCAAAAGTGTGCTGCCAGAACTGAACTTGTTTAACTTTTCAACGCATACAAACAAGCCCTTTAGACGAACAAGAAGCTGGTCAAGTCCAACACTTGTTTGGCGACCTGAAGATATTGGATTAAATGAAACCAGGAAAGAACAAAGAAAAGGCTTGCATTTTGACAAACAAAAAGGTCGAAGTCCATCTGTAAGTTGCGCAGAGAAGAATCCCATTCAGATCAAATGTGAAGAGGAGAAGGAAGGAGTAGAAACCAAGAAACCTTTATCTGCGATTTTGCCTCCACTCGTCTTGCCTCCTTTACATTTACACCGAAGACCAAGCTCCAAAGAACAAAATAAAGTCAAGAACGATGATTCAAGTGGCGATAAAAGCTTAAAAAAGCAATACGAAGAACTTTCTGACTGTCGGTATTTACGGGTTTATCATCCTTTTATTAAAAATTAAGGAGCAATTATTAATTGAACATTTTTGATAAGCTTTTGTTTTTTTGCGAGTTGCACAATTTCAAATCCTATTATTTCAGTTTGTTGACTTTTAAGTTTTTAGGTATTAGGCTAATCCTCTTCTTATTATGGTTGGCATCAGTTGCTGTTAAAAACTAAATTGTTGAAAGATATGTTAATATCATTGGAATTAAATTTCCGTTGTTGTTTACCTTTTTGGAACCTTGTTCATGTCAAATGTTGTGAATGAAACTAAAAATCTGATAGCTATAATCATGCTTTTTGTTACGTTGAGGTGGTAGAACATACTATGCGGAGATATTTGCATAATGGATAAATGAGGATAAATATACTTATGTTGAAAGATTTCTTTTAACAATTTCTTACGTCGGACATTTTGCCCGACATTTTGTACATTTTAACCTTGCTCTCTTCTGCGTCAAAGCATGGTTATAAATAGATATAAATAATCTATTAAGACGAACAATGAAAGGGAGAATAAGTTGATATCTGAGAATGGAAAAAATAAAGARAAGAAAGAGAAGAAGAAGAGTAGGAAAAGGCGAGAACGAAGGAAAGGAACTGCCCGGCTACGGACTCTAAATAATTGTTGCGCACGATATACTCGATCGTACGAGGTCGCGTCGACTCAAAATCCCACATGAACAGTAACTGTAATTACAAGAGAGGCATGCAAACAGTTTTCAGTCACGCAAACTAACAGGATAATGAGCAGATTTCACACGACTTATGAAATTAACAGTTATATACTTTATTTTTATCTGGCAACAATGAGTTAAAAAACACTAAGCCAAAAAGAATGAAAGCATATATAGACTAATCATTCTTTACTATAAATACTATTCTAAAGGCGAAGGGTTTTATGAAGTTCAAACATCTCAGATCAAACAGCCTGTATACACTTCCCACGAGGACTTGCCATCTTTCGTGTTTAGCTTTACTAGACTTCCAGTTGCTGGTTTGTTCTTTCCCTCGGACCATTCAAACAAAAGCCTGTTATAAGAACAAAGCAAGATCAATGCATGATATTTGTGTATTTCTAATCAGTAGGCTATTAGTCCCTTTCACAGTTCTTTGCRCCCTCTTGAAAGGTAGCTGTGCCTTTGCATTGAAGCAAGACAAACGGTGGGTTTGCAATGATAGAGACCTTTTTGAACACATTGGACAATTCACATGTCTCTATCATTGCAAGCTCACCATTTGTCTCGCTTTGATGCAAAGCCACTGCTACCTTTCAAAATGGTGCAGGGAACTGCGAAGGGGACTATTTACAGACTGATGCAATAAGCCTGAAGAGAGATGACGTTTTACCCCTGACTCTATACCATAATAATTTTTAAAATTCTTAAATRTTACAATTTTTGATTCCTTAGAGAATATAGAAACAATAGTCATAATTAAAGAAAAAAAGCAGTGTGAAAAGGATTATGGTCTAGAGACGGGGGTAAAACATCATCTCACTTCAAGCTTATTGGAATTTAGCTTGTTAGGTTTTCTGGAGGGAGGAGTACCATCAAGAAAGAGATCTAACAAACTCTAATCACATTTTGTGCTGAACTAGCAGAAGTTCCAGAGGTATCTCATTTTGTCTTTTCTTCTATAAGCTTTAATTTATGTACTTTATCTCTCAGTCTCTCCCAAATTATTATAGACACAGGTAGCCMACCAATAGGGAAATTTAAAACAGATTAAGAGATACTCCTTAGGGTAATACTTACTCTGCCACATATTCTAAAGGTGTCCACTGGTTAAAGTCTGCATTGGCCATGTTTTTTCTATTCATTGGAGTRTCTAGAGTCATCCTTCAACAACAACATTTTCTTGATTGATTAGTAATGAAATAGAAAAATAGATTAAATTATTGTTTTTGGCCAAATTACCAAGGTAGAGAAATGAGGAGATGTTTACTTACGGCAGAATGGCCAGAGCAGTAGAATCAGGTGGGAGACCACTCCCTTCCATTCCTAGTCCCTTCACCAACTGATGGACAGCAGCCTTAGCCATGCCATATCCCATCATTCCTGACAATCATTCAGAAAATTGTTTCCCTATTAGTTAGTATATAAATAGTTCTTAATTTTGAGCCATTCTTTATCCTTCCATTGAAGGTTATGTGATTGTGATGATAGTAGGAGGTTTCTCATTAGCTTCCAACATCAACACTTCAACATGCAGCTGTCATAGCTTTGCCTTTTGATTCTCCTGGGAATCATTGCCAATCACCAATGAATATAGATAAAATATCCTTGTAAAAGTCATTAATCACAGAACAAGGTATTTTCTTTAATTTTACCTGCAGTTCCCCCAAGTGATGGTTGAGCACCAGTCAAGGACAGTAGGCCTCCACTAAAAAGAAAAAAAAACCTGTCACCTTATGTGGCCATAAAGTACCTACATCCACCACACTTTTTGAATRCCAAAATATTTGAATTGCATAATTATTCAACTCTAAATTATAGCTTTTATGATRAAATCGCAGTAACCAGGCACCAAAACTCTATTAGAGCTTTAATAGTTCATTAATCATACTTCTTCAAATGTTTCGCAGCGATGCTTGCAGAAATGAGTGAAGTCCAAACACTCTGCTTGAACATCAAATCAGCATTTTTTACTACAGCTAGAATAAAAGACACAATACTAAATATATTAACTTATAAATTGATGGCGAAAAAACAATATTTTGGTCATACTTAAAATACCTCTTTACCTAGCTTGGGCATAATGGTTTCCCATTTAAGATCAAGTGTCATTCTCTAGATTAT